ACTGAGCTGTGAAGATGTTTCTCAGTGTCTTTTGGTTAGCGGTGCCCTAATTTCTGCAGAGGGAACTGCATTTATCAAGCGACTTGTGAAATGACTCTCCAAAACTCCAGTCAGTGTACAGTTACTGCTAAATAACCACTCTCTACTTTGTTTGCAAACAAAACTTTATCATAGCTCTGTGATGTCAGTTGCTATATAAAGAAGGAATCCCTCCTACTGCTGCATCACCACAGGTATGACACACGGTAATCAACGACCTGAAAGTTCCTATCAGACAGCAGCACAGCAGTGAGTCTCAGCATGACTATCCCAGAGCATCTGGAAAGAATAATGTAAAATACCTTGAACCAAATAGCACGATTTAGAGTTAAAGCCTTTATGATGTGTTGTATATGAACATGAGCTGAACTTCAGTTAACTATGCCAAAACGTAAAGCTCACTGGCTTCACAATTGTCATGTTCTGTCTGAAAATGTGTGGCATTAACCCTGTTTTTAGACAACATCGCATCTCCCTCTTTCTTAGGATGGCCACGTTGGTGCAACAGTCATTAGGATTCACCCTCTGTAACAATGAATACCATAGCCCAGAAAGTGAAACCACTTCCTTTACATGTTTGATATCTTCCCCACATTCACTTCAGATCCTGAAAAACACACACGAGGCCAACAGCTCCTTTCTCTGGAAAAGGATTTTCTCATTAGCTTCTCACTTTTTCTGACTGTTCTTTTTTTAACCACAATACCAGCCTAAAATACACACACAATGAAAGCACAGGCACTCCTGCACACACCAATGCCTCCTTGTGTTCACTGACGGCATGCAAACGATGCTTCCTTCTCTCCTCTCATAATGGCCTCCATTGTTGGTATTGTGTGCACAAGAGAGAGAGAGAGACACTGATTTGCCATGGCTGGTATAATTCTGTCATTATTAGCTCAGAAGGGGAAAAGTGGCACAAGGAGGGATGAAGGCCCAGAGGCACAGCTCCCCACAAAAAGCAAAACCCAACTGACAGTTGAGGAAATCCATCAGTCTCTCGCTCTCAATCTCTGTTCGTCTCTCATCATCTATCCACAGGCCTTACTGAGCTTTAGGAGGAAGTCATCTCAGAAAGTGGCTCTGAAGAAATGCAAAAAGAGAAAATGGAGTGAATGCAGTCTTACCCCCCACCATAATGCCATGCAATCTGGCAGAGGGAGGGAGATGGAGCCCTGTAAAAGAAGGGGATGATGTGGGAGGGTAAGACTTGAAGCAGACATTCAGGAACACACACAGTGTGAGAGGCCGCAGTCAGATCAGCCTTTCGTTCTCTCTGGTTGAGTTTAAAACAGCACAGAGTTGTCTGTGTGCCTATTTTCACCCGCAAGGTTGCTGCAACCTGACTTAAGCTCCAGCTTTTAAAATCCCATTCACCCTCCCAAAACCCTCTCTAGCGTCGGCTATGGCTCATTGCGCTCATCATTGGTTCAATTTTACCAGCATACTGTGTGTGTGTGTGTGTGTGTGTGTGTGTGTGTGTGTGTGTGTGCGCGCGCATGTGAGAAAGTTTGAGAATGAGAAAAACACTAAGAAAAAAAAAATCTATGCATCTGCTTGGGGGTATTTTAAAGAAACCTATACTTTCTCTTCCTGATATGCTCCGGTCTTTAAGAGTGCTGGCTCGGTGTTCAATCACCATAACAACCTCACCTTAACAACAATGACTCCAGTAACCTTGGCCATCCATTAGCTTGTCTAAGAACAAAAGCTGTTTCCACTGGGAGCCATTAGACCAATATTGCTCAGGGAAAAGAAGAATCCAATACACCAGATGGGCTGCTCTTTATACCAGCTCTGGGAGTGGACAGCAGTCTCACAGAGATCGTTACTGAGGGAGAAATTAGGCTAAATCAGTGCAATACACGGAAAACGCTCCGGTTCGATGCTGGAGTCAGTCCACAAATGTGGAACTGCAGGTGGACACTGATTATTGCCCAAAGCTTGGCAGAGATCTGCAACATATGTGCACATACTTTTAACCAAACTATCATCATATTTAATTCATTTGAAAAGTGTGGGATTTCCCTGGCACTGACTTCATTATTTGTTGATAGGAATTTGTACCTTCAAGTGATTATCCCCAGTCTGTGCCTTTCATGCACTGCCATTACATTTGAGTCACAGAGCTAAGCATTTGAATTTCTGAAAAATAAATACCCATAGTTATTTTAAAACTCAGTAGGCTGTTTAACAAAAACATTTCTAGAATCCTGGAATTTTCCTCTAACCAGCTGGGTGAAAAAAGTATTCCATATGTTAAATGGGAAAGAATATATTTTCAGCCCATTTCTGAAGGTGTGATGGTATTTCCTAATCCAGGTAGTTGTAAATGGCATACATCCTCACTCTTTTTGTTAAAATAAAGCAAAAGTATTTATGTGCTACTTACAAAATATAAGATATTGGAACAAAACATTAATATATAACTGATAACATTTTATTTTGGTTCTATTTGTACAACGCAAACAAGAAGATGTGTCATTTCATGCCACCTTTACTGTTTGGACTTAAAAAAAAAGCAAAACCCTTATTTATCATTAATACAATAAAATATTTTTTCTTCCATATGGTCAGAAGAGTCTAACTGGGGCTAGCTGGTGACACACAGTATGTGCAACATCAGTCTGCTATGAATTCTCCTAAACTGTGCTTTTATTGCAGCACAAATATGATACACCCACTTGTAGGTCAAGCTACATAAATAAAACACAAATAACCTCTCAAATTATTGCAAACATGGCACTTCCCACACTGTGCCCCAAGTCATTTTTATCACATGGTAAGAAATGCCCAAATATATTTATGACTGTCTTCTCTTCAATCCAGAACACTGATCAATGCATCCACGCAAGCAGGCTCAAAATGACACGAACAAGAAGTACTGCATCTCCTCTGCCATCATCATGCTTCCGCCCAAATGAGAGAATGGGGATATCTTCACACAAAGAGGTGTTGATCAGCTCTCATCTCAGCCCTGGAATTTAAATCTATTATGCATAAGTTGAGGCGGGCTGAGCTCAGGAGCCAGCCATTCCCGGCTATCAGAGCTGAGGATGTGTCACCTGTCTCTTCCTGTCCCATCTGGTTTCCCCTGACGAATATTACAGCTGTACCTTCTGGCTACAGAGCAGATAACAGCACAGCGTGTGTGTGCGCCTGGTATTTCTCACACTGTGGGGGCCAAAACCTGTTTACCCACTCATACTGTGGGGACATGGCCTTCCACACGGGGATCACAGACTGGTCCCTACTATGTAAATCACAGAATTTTAGGATAGTTTAGGTTTGGGTGAAGTTAGGTTAAGGTTAAGGTAAGGCCTAGGGTTAGGCTAGTATTAGAGGTTACCTTTAAAATTACAGTGTAGATTATGTCTCCAGGACATAAATGTACAAAATGTAATGTCCACTCCAGTGATGGAAACGTGATTGTGTCTAACCTGTATTTATATCAGTTTCTGTAGATAGCTGTGATCAGGTACGCGTCTGTCTGGGTGTATTGTCTTGTATGTGTGTATTCCACCCAGTGAACGTTAGATTTATGCCGGTGCCACTATGTGCATGTGTGTTTATCCACGTGTGTAAGTGTGACAGTTTGTCTCTGCGAGTGTCTTGATCTGTCTCAAGAAGCTCAACCAGTGAACTGAATGTCTGAGTGTGTGTGTGTTTTAGTCTGACAGGGGGGAACTGGGGGATGGCTGCGGTGAGAGAGCCGAGGTGCAACACCCTGTTACTGTGACAGACACAGTAAAGCAATCACTGAGGGAATGAGCTGCTGTTGTCTACTTTGCTCCATAACTTGACAGATACAAGAAGCAGCAGCAATTCGGTTTGTTAAGCCACTCTCTAGTCCAGTCCCCAACACACCTCACTTAGAAAAGTACCTGGGCACAGAGCTCAGCAAACACTATTTTTGCTGATTAGAGTTAGTGCTCTTATCACCGATGTAAATGCAGTTCTGATAAGACTTGATTCCAAACTTAGAAGTGGCAGAGACTATTTTGGGATTGATTTCAATCTAAGAAATGTCTGATGATGCATCAATGCCAAGGAACACACAGCTACTGTATGATAAGGGAGTGGCAATACATAAAATGGACTGTCACATTAAACCACTACTTCTGTCATGAAAAAGATCAGTGCAAAAGTAGTAGTAGTAGTAGTAGTAGTAGTTTGTTTTTATTTTCTTGGCACTCTAACCTGGCATAAAGTTCTCGACAACGCTATGTGTTAGGCTGTTTACGAAAGGTTATGACTATGACTAACTTCTGTTCCCTAAAGGACAGGAACTGTAGTCACACGACAGGCATGTACAGTAGGACAAATGAAACATTAGAATTAAAGATACAGTATGTAACTTTTTTGTGGTGCAGAAACATGCTCCAATATTTGTCTTAATACAGAGATGTGCTGTCGAAGCCTCCTGTGACCCAGACTCACTGAACAGCACTGGCAGCAGTGCAGAGATATTAGCTTCTAAAGGTTTTGAGCGGGACTGACCTCTGTGACCAATCAGAGCTTTCCATGAACTGCTTAGTGTACATGCTACAGTGAGAAGTGAATGAGTGAACAGGGAGTGCTTTCAGACACAACCTCTGAATGCAACAGCCCTAATGAACACTGATGATGAGGTATTAATGCAAACCTGTATAACTATATTAGAATGTATAATTATTTTTCAGAGCTTGCTCATTTGTTGTGTCACTGTGGCTTAATGAAGTTGTAACTCTGTTCCTTTGCTGTATTGTATATATTTCAATTAAAATACGATCAAAGAGATATTCTGCCACTACATTTTGTGCTCTGGGCAGGGTTCTCCACTATAAATATAACAGATCAAGTGTGGCCAAATGTAAAGGTGTTAAATCGGCGTCAATCAATATGAGAAATGAAATGCACTTTCTAATTTTGCCCGATAAACAGATGACACTGTTCAGACAGAGATATTAATGTGGTTGTACCTGATAGACGTGGTAAGCGTTGGCAGCTCTGCCCTGCAGGAACACAGAGGGGATCCACACATTGATGAGAGCACGATGAGCCCTGAGTGACACAAACCACAAACCATCCCTCACTGCTGTCATTGTTATCATCATCATTATCATTATCACTGGTACCAGCAACATCAACAATGTGTCAGCGCTACACCTAGACAGCTACCTGTATAGCAAATTATACCTCACTCTGATAAAACACCTCAAAATCTAATTTGGTCATGAATTGAGAGTGGAACAAATGAATAATTGTAAGATATCCAAACAGTGTCTGAGTCTGCTCGCAGCTAAATCTGAGAAAGAATAACTTAAATAGAATTGTGCTGGGAGCAGTTATTTTACATGGATGGGATGTAGCTCTTGCGAGATACAGTGAAGTATTCTTACGTCTCAAAATCTGACAGGCTGGGGTCATCTGATGTCTGGCTTAGATCACCTGGAACCTGGAAAACAAGAAACCGAGCACTGAAACAACACAAATTAGAATCTTTACAAACCCATACACAAATACAGCATGTACAACTAGGAGCAATACAGCTAGCTAAAAGTAAGAACTGAGCAGTTTTCATGGTAAGTTAAAAGTAATGGGTAAACAGTTCAAATAATTCATAGATAAACATGATAGAAAAATGGTTTAAAGACACAGTTTCCTGCACTCCACGTGGTAGCAGTACAAATGAAGACTTAAAAAACCAACAACTGACAGTTCAATTGTATGAAAAAATATAACACAGTAAAATCAATTGAAATTAACCCATTGTGAACATGACAGGTGGTGTCATTGAAGGGGTATGCTATTTGAGTTCATCTGACAGGCCCTCCCGGGTACAGTACATCAAATGAAACAGAATGGGAACCACTGTAATAAACAATATCATCAACAATTCACCCTCTGAAGTAAATCCACTTCATGTATATCTGTGTCTTGCGTAAGGCTGACGATCCCTGTGGTTGTCCTGAACTGACACTGTCTATGCAGCTGTATGTGTATTATATTGTGTATGTGAGTTCATCAAGCCTGTAATTTGTTTCCCTTTTTGCTTCCAGGTCCCTTGAGGAACCATATGACCAGTCCCAGATGTTGGCCTTCTGGATGAGTGTGTGTTCGTGTGTGAAAATGAGTGTGTGGCTTCCTTCCATTGTTCTCATCCACAGCCGGCCAGTCAGCTTCTTAGCTCTCCCAGAGAGACCATCTAAACCAGGGCTAAAACACAGCTACAGGGTGCCAGGCTTAGAGGAGACCCTCCAAGAGTCACGCATACAAAAACTAACAGAAGAGTAAAACAGAGAAAGACACGATGAGGTGTAGGGATGGAGAGAGGGTGGCTGGAGTTTGGTCATTTGCAGCAGCTCACGGAAGCTGGAATCATCCAGTAATCAGGAGCCAGAGATAAACACACACACACACGACGACACACAGACATAGTGCACAGTCCAGCAGAGCGCAGCTGAGGCTGAGGGATAAGAGGTCCTATCTCCAGCCTGGGGCTCCCATCACTGGTGCTGCATTAGCTCACACTGGACAGTGTGTGTCTAAGTGTGTGTATGTGTTTCCAAACTGTTTCACGCTCTCCTGGCCATGAACAGATGTTGGCTTTCTTTGTGCGTTTGTTGTTATTGTAGAAAAAGAGTTTGAAAGTACTGAGCAAAAGTTTATTTGATCTACCTTTAAACAAAGAAGGTAGTTGGCACGAGCAGTGACAGCCCTCATGGCTGAGCAGACATTAAAATAGCTTCAAAAATCAAACTTCATCAACAGACAAGCAGAGAGATGTGAACACTGGCTACACTGTTTGACTGACACATTATCTCGGGAAACTGCAGAGCAGAAGAAAAAATGAGAAGACGGGAATCTTCTAGATGACAGCTACGAGAAAAATGCAGTTAACCGGTGCTGGCAGCTATTGACTGTACAGAAAAATGAGCAGAGGACCAGTCCAAAAACAAACAGGCAACCTGAAGACAAAACTCAAACATATCACCAGGAGGTGCAGGAGGAGGGACAGAAAAAGGGGGAGGCAGGAAGAAATCAGCTGAGAGGGGAACTCAGTGACTGTGTGTGTGGCGGTGGGGGTCCAGTCACTCACCAGTCCTCTCAGGTCAATGAGTTCCTGTCTCATCTGGACAATGAGGTGGTCTTTGGCCATGAGTGAACGGTACAAGCGCTCATTAAACTCTATCAACTCACCGTGCATCTCGGCTACCTGCAGCACACATACACAGACAGACAAGCAGAAGAACGCTTCGATTAATCATGCTGTAGAACATTATTATATAACACACAATTACCTAAAAAATGGACAATAGAAAATCACTGAAACACCACATGTACACCATGAGAACATTCAAAAATACAATTCTCAGTGAAAATTTTACACAAAAGGCAGGAGAACTCCAGGTGACATGTAATGGATGTTGACAGTAGGACAGACTCTGGGAAACAGTTAAACCCCTGACAGAGATGAGAGGGATGCAGGGAGAAAGGGGTGAGAGACATAAAGAGAGAATGACGGGGTGAAACCAGTTCATATCCAGACAGCCAGACTCCTGCCAGCCTGCTAATCAGTTGTCCTCAGCTTTAACTGACCTTGAGGTAGTGTTATTCACATCTGTGTGCTCATGCAAATACAGCCAAGCTATCACATGTGTGTGTGTGTGTGTGTGTGTGTGTGTGTGTGTGTGTGTGTGTGTGTGTGTGTGTGCGCGCTCTCCA